TCCTATTGACCGACAGATCATGCAGACAATTCATGGAGTTGATGGGGGTCTACCTACGCGCCGCTCTTGCGCAATCCATGGGAACGGCTCCAGCTACAAGCCCTTTCTTCTCGCCCTGTGAATCCTCTCCCATAGAACCCCGAGACCAGTGGCATAAACACATCCGCAGTCCCTATTCTAGCTTTAAAAAAGTAACTGAGCTAGGATGGCTCGAAATAAATTGCGAAAACTGAAATACAATCAGCGGCTACACCCCCCAGATAAAGAGGATCCGAATGTGAGATCGATAAATGAATATTTCTACGCCTCAATGGCAACCACAAATAGCCACAGTTGTCCCTACGGAATATTCAATGCGCGAGGGATCAGAATTCCCACCACGGCACATTTGATGTCAACTCAGTTCATCCGCTTTGGATAGGCTTTACCATTGTGGTATAGAACAAAAAATAACTGTAAGGTGTTACGGCTTGACCGTTGTTTGAGCTTAAGCGGATACCTAAGCCTAATATTGAGAATATTCACGACAAGACTGCCCGGGAAGGGATGGATGAAGCTAAATAATACGGCACTACTAATCAGTAGGTCGAAGCGTTATTACAACTTCGTGACACCCGGAAATATGTGGCTGGGTAAGAAGTGTTGTGCCTAAGGACAAGTCACCAGTCTGTAGATTCACGAGGAGGATCAACTCTTATAAATACCTGTTAGTAGTAGTCAGAGTCATCATTTCTCCTCTTATTGTTTATTAAATCGAATCACTTATCACCAACTCGGGTTCCGTCACACAAGGCCTCATAGATAGCTCTTCGAAATTGGCATGTCTAATTGCCAAACTAAAACCATCATCGGACTTAGTCGTCTTCAGGGTCGTGAATGTGCAAATAAAGGTTAACATACTGTAAGGCCTTTTAACGACCAACACTTGATAGATCACCACTGAGATCTATCAAGTGACTAATTAGATTCTGTCAAAAATCTGATAGCTTGGAACCTACTGAATATAGTAATGAGATTCATTGGATATTGGGATGACACATCTCGGATTAGCTCACTCGAGCTTTGACATCTCACCAGAGACATGGTGATCAGGGTATTCAAGATAGTCAGGATGTTCAAGGCTCCAACTTAAGATCTTTTGACCTCCAACAAATGGAATATATTTCGTATGTAATTTGGGGAAACGAGGAGAAGAAAATCTCTCCCGGAAATAGCTTCAGATGGGTATATAGCATCAAGGTCGGAGAGGAGTTGAAGAGCAGAAATTTCATCAATACAGTTTTACTTTAAATTTTTCATTTGACCCTCAGTGTCCAACAGATTCCCATCCAGGTACGGGCTCGCGGGACATGCCGCGCAGGTGTATCACGTCGAAGCTGACATGCTCTCTATTTTCGAGAATCCGCCTCTTCGGCGAGTCAAGTTTGGCCTGAATCCCACAAGCCTCGTTGCTACATCACGCAGTGACGACGCTGCCCTGACCACCACGAAACTCTTGGTCATTCCAAAGCTCTTGTTAGCTGAAACTACGGAAGGAGAGGCAGCCACAAAGCATCGAAACTGTGGTGGTCCACGTCGTTGGGAAATCAAGTCTGCTAAACTCAACCTACAGGAGCTAGCTCAGTGATAAGTTGCGACTATGTCACTATCTGATAGGCCTGTGGGTACTGGTAATTAATTGAGACTGTTATCGCTCGGGACTCACGATATCAGATTCACGGGGTGATCAATATCAAAGTCTAAAATAAGCAAAAGGTTGTCTAGCCTTTCTTCTATCGACTACTATGCTCTATATACATCCTATGCTATTGCCCTGAGCGGCGATCCGGTCTTCTCCAACTAGTTGTAAGACGACGCTAGTACCTCGTCTCCAGCTCCCGATTATCTGCGCTTCAGGATTCTCAGGCCAGCCAACGAGAGTTTGTAGTGGTAGCCCGAGCAAAGGCTGCTGCGAGGAGTCCTAGGGCGGAAAGTCAACCTGTCTTGGAAAATACAATGATGCCCTCGGGATTGGACTTTTTGGCGACGAATCCGAGATTCAATCGTGAGCTGCGAGGAGCCCCGGAAATAAGTGAGTGATAGCTTCAACAAATCTTGAATAAGGGTCGTCGATTATGGAGGAAACCCGTCAACTCATCTTCTGCTCTCAACGGAGGTTGAGCAATGTTTCTATCCCGGCATGACGGAGAAAGCAACGCGCGAGAAGCGCTGTATTCGAATCCAACAAGGAAGAATATTATTTTTTCTGTAATTACTATGGGTTGCTTCTGTATTTAATCCGTGCCGATTTTGGTAGTGATTCATGCGCTTGGAATGATTTGAGCATGTACATGGCTGGCCTCGCCGGCTCCATCGATCCTATACCCACAGTAGACTTGGTGCTCTGGCTAAGACTTTCAAATTTCAAAAATTAAGTGTAGAATATCTACGGCATCACACAATTATTACCGGTTAAAAGTTAGTACTAACAACCTATAGCTCTGAATAAAGGTTTTTTGGTCTCTGCTTGAACAGCATTGCGCCCGCAGGTCAGCGTATTAAATTTTCAAGGGTCTACAGGGTGATAAAGTGTTGCGCTCAATCAGGGTCCCGTCTCTTATCAAAGATCAACTTCAGTCAGGTCCAGAATATCTATGAGTGTCGCTAGGGTAGTATACTCCCTAATCATAAAGCTATTCTCCTTTTTCCTACAAGCATTTTGTCATTTTTGCCCTGGCATCGCCTCGTGCGACAAGGAAGCTTCACCGATAATCTAAATTTCAAAAGAGTGGATTTGAGACGCCAGTATGATATTGACGGAGTATTGTAGCCAAAAATCTACACGAGAAAAATACCGACCATAATCTGTTACTAGTTGTGGAAATAGAATCTTAATGTGACGGAGATATAGTATAATTGTAAAAGTTGTGGCATACCAGGAGTGGGCGAAATCCTGGGCCAAGCAGAAACAAACTCAGAAGCCTCGGCACTTAGCAACTGCAGATTCCGAAACCTTGGAGAGCAGCCAAATTTTACCATAGCATAAAGTCTGGACGGCAAATGCTGAGTTTTCAAGGCTCATCGTTCTTCCTACATCGTAACCTGACAAGGGCCCAAAGCAGTTTGGCAATGCAAATACGAAGTGAGCACATGGGGCTTAACTCGAATTTACACAGAAGAAAAGTACCCGAAGTATTAAGTCCAGGTTGTCCATGCGGCTACCAATCGCAGAACCCCAAGCATATAATTATGTCCTACCACCGATGGTCAAATGGTAGAGCTGAGATCTGGAGACGAGCCAAAGATCGATCCTACGAAGCGATAATAAACAATCCTGGAGATATATAAAAGATAACATAGTGGATCCTAAACCATAGTTGGATAGAGCAACTCCAGATGACAAAGGTGGTCGAAATGCTGCTGAGGGAAAGGAAAAGGTCAAATAATGCTTGGGGGGGATGGAGATGATCTGGTTAGTTTACATGAATAGCATTATAGTGTCACTGCGCTTCCTGAAGAAAATATGTGAAAACTGTACAGAACAAGTAGAAAGGTGCGGGGGGAGTTTCACCGTAAAGGCTTCCTCCCGGCGAAATATTATAGATTGTAGACACCTGCATGGGCCCATAGGACACCAAATCAGGATAATGAATTCAAATTCGATAATTATAATAATTATTTCATTTTATTGTCCTTTCTGAGTCTATGACTACGTAGGACATGCAGGTCCTCTCTGTCTACAGGCCAAGGATAACTATACCAGTAGTATATCCCCTCCTTTGCCCTTCATTATCTCCCCTCTCCAGTCAACTAAACGATGGCCATTTACGGGCGTTTGGCAGCCGGTAAAAATCGTAAAAATCGTAAAAGCCACTGGGTGCGGGGCTCTTCTAGTACCAACTCAGGACTATATCCGAAGACATAGTGACCCTTATGAAGCGTTCGAAGAGGCCGGCGAGCTGGACACTGCAGACTTGTGGGTACCTCGGAAAATTTACCCTCTGCCTTTCTAGCCTCCTTCCCGAAGGTCGTGCTTAAATGCCAGAAAACTCTTGACAGAGCGTGATTGCTGTATAGTAGCTAAGCCCAACTTCTTTTGTACCGTCCAGGGCGCTGGGGAGTGCCGTTGACTCATCGACAAAAGAAGCCCTCCTGGCTAATTAGCCGAAATCTTGGTCGTGACGCCCACAAACGTTCCAAAGTTGAAATCTCCTCGAAAATATCAGTCACGGCATGGTATTCAGAGACCTGTTCCCCCTCTCGCTTCACATCTCGCCCGCTTGTCCTCCTCAGGATGTATAGTCCCATTAGAGCATCATTCCCCCGTGAACCAAAACCCCAACTTTGTATATTATAACTTAATTTCCTCCTTGCGGGTATACCTAGCGTCGTAAATTTGTAGTGAGTGATGGCCGGTAATAAATGAGGAAACCTCCTGTTTGCAATTGGGGCGACGCCTTTATTGGTCGTTGAGGCGAGATGATATGTAGTCAGAAAGAGGTTGAGGACTCAGATGCGTCACACAAGAGAGGCATTGTCGTGAAGTCGTCAAATGGAGATATGTTTGAGGTTGCTTTCGACTTTGATTCGGGTGCGATTGTTCTAGGCTATCCCAGATTTGTAGAGGATACTGAGCGATTTCACCGGCACCACTGGAAGGTGAAGAATTCGTCTTTGCCGGCTGTGAGGGAGGTGTAGGATATTTGAGGTTATTTTTTGTAATTACTAAAGCTGCGCCGTGTATTAAGCGTGAGAACGAGGGGAACTAAGATGAATGTTATTCCGTGTCGTGCAAACTGAAATCTACATAGGTAGCGGGAAGCTAGAATGTTGCTACAAGGTTTCCGCTATTCTAAACGTGGCACGATGGGAGCGTGGATGCTAAAATGACGTTATTGAGGTTAGCGCTGTTTTGAGACGAAACTACCCCCCCGTAACACAGCAATACTCTCTTCGACGAGCTACATTAAGTACTAGATCGATTCACTGTAAGACTAATTTTATTTTCACATCCACTCGATATGGCCCAAGATCCTCGTGCGCTCTTACAAAAGGTGGGACTTCGTTCTACATTTCCCTCTTGTTACTAACCAGTCGACTTTAGGCAGAGAAAGCTGTAGTCGCCGCTACAGGTGGATTCAGTTTCTTTGGAGGGAGACAAGAGAAGTGGGAAAATGCAGCAGATCTCTATATGCAAGCTGCTAATGCATTTCGAATGCAGAAACAAAGTCCTCTTTCCCGTCATACTATGCATTAACCTATGATCTAACACACTATCGTAGACAAAGAGGCCGGGGAAGCTTTCGAAAAATGTGCGGAAATACAGACTGACAGATTGAATGATCTTGATGATGCAGCAAATACTCTCACCGAAGCTTTCAAAGTATACAAGAAGAGCGACCCGACTGACGCCGCACGCTGCCTAGATGTAGCCATCAATCACCATACTTCCAAGGGAAACTTTCGCCGTGCCGCTACACACAAACAGAACATGGCCGAGGTTTACGAGGTTGAACTCGGAGATATGAAGAAAGCTATCGAAAGTTATGAAATAGCCGCAAGCTGGTTTGAGAATGACAATGCAGAGGCCCTAGCAAATAAGCTTTATCTTAAGGTGGCAGATCTGGCGGCTCTCGAGGGTGACTACTATAAGGCCATTGAACACCTGGAAAAGGTATCGGCAACATCTGTAAACAATAACTTGATGAAATGGTCAGTGAAGGATTATTTTCTCAAAGCAGGACTGTGTCATTTGGCCGTGGGTGACATGGTAGCCACAGGTCGTGCCATAGAAAAATACCGCGATTTAGATCCATCTTTCATGAGTACGAGAGAGCACCAACTGTTGGTAGATTTGAGTGAAGCGGTCGACGTGGGGGACCAGGAGGCTTTTGCTGATAAATTGTTTCAGTATGATCAGATTAGCAAGTTAGACAAGTGGAAGACGACTCTTTTGTTGAAGATAAAGAATTCTATAGAGGAGAAAGGCGAAGATTTCTCTTGAGCATGTTAACTCGACTGGCGTTAGGGATATGGGTCAGATGGCAGGAAGTACGGTAATTTCAGGATCAATTTGCATAAAATATTCAGATTTTATCGGGTCAATAATAGTTTAAAGCTATCACCAGGGTAATCTTGTCAAACAGACAAGTTCGCGATCTGAAAGTACAGTTCCAAGTAGGTTATGCTTGATCGCGCTACGGGTCTCATGGTATAAACAAGTTCAGAGAGTTATATGTGACTGCACTAAAACTCCTTACTAACAGCTCAATTTAACGATCAAGATCACAAGTCGCCTAGCAAGTTATGTTTCGTTTACTGGAGTGAGTTTGGGTTTATTTTACTACTTAAGTCATGGACTATCTAGCTCGTATGGCTCCTTTCTGACCCAGACCACTTCGTTCACTAGGTTCTCCTCCACTTTATACCAGCCAAAAACTCATTCAGTCATATCAAAGACGCTCTCTGCAACAAAATTTTCTTGCCAGTATCATTCATCAACTTGACGGCTGATCACGTCCTGTAAACGGAACCGGATGATATCCGGGCGTTACAATGATCCGGTCCGTATGTCTGCCTCTAAGGGCAGTTCGATAGGAATTTTGGCTGGATGGAAACGTGTTATTCAAAGATTATAATGGCACCAAGACAATAAAGCACCGACACATTTCCTACTGAACTCAAAGAAAAACTAGCCAAAGGCTGTTATTTAGCGTGAATGGTTTGGACACCGATCTCCCGCTAGGGCGAGGGAGAGATGTTTCGAGTTCAGTAAGCCTAGACTACATGGTTCTTCTTTTTTTCAACATATATGTCTCAAGTTATATAGCTATAACACATTTACGCCAGCTTTTGTGATTGATGCTAGGCTTATTATGTAAAAGACACTTGTGATCTAGTTTTCTTCACATACACCTCAATAATTAGTGTGGTCTTCCACTGAATGGTCAATCTGCAACCGGGTGCACCTACTGTAGGAAGTAACTTGCACTGGTTTTATGAAGTACAATACAATTGTATCTTATTAGCCAAGTTGTATCATATTTAGAGGTGACAGATACGTGAGTGGGGTGATTTAATAACTCCTGGCTCCACTAACAACAAATTTGGTAATATAAGTGAAATTAAACATTGTGCCACGAGTTCATGTGTCACCACAATAGTAGTATGTTAATGTAGTGTATTTCAGGTTCTCATTTATTCAAATTATTGCCTGACGGTTCAGCTTTACGTGAACGGGAACAAATTGTTATATTCTTTATTCTCATGTGTTTAACGGTGAGCTGTCTGGAAACTGATTGTTTAGTTCCCTGAAGTTAGAGGACTCTCTGCCGTAAAATGTATTTATTTTTGAATTGAGAGGTTATGTAGGCATGTCATGGTTTTTCTTTAACTTCAGTAGCCGACGGCCTTCAGTGAAAAGAGGTGGAATATGACGCCTTATAGTATCTTTTACCGAGCTCAGCCGAGGCGAGCTCAGGTTCAAGAAGTATGATTACTCTGAGACTTGTCAATAGGGTAGCATCATGCACACAATAGTGTTAGACACAACTCATTGCCATTGAATTATCGCAGAAATCAACGCTACAATCCGAAAATTGAGCGGAACACTGGATACAAGTCTGATGATGAGCCAAGAAATAGGTGAGATGACTGATATTTATATATTTAATTAAGTGGGGCACCTCTAGCGCGGCGCTAATCCAAAAAGGCCGAAAGCACCGACCAGCTTGGTTATGGTATTGCCTGATCCTATGTTTAGGCCTTTAGCTAAACACTTTACCAGCAGTTCAACATGTCTGACTCAATTTCTATCGAAGAAACGAACCGGATACGGATATCCCTTGGGATGAGGCCATTGCCAGTCCCGAACCAGTCAGGTCCAGTATTCGAGGAAGCTCCAGCAGTAGATGCTGGCAGTACATTAGAGTCAAGACAAGCTGAAGGCTATGAAAATTTCCGCAAACTACAAGAACTTGAGGAAATACGGAAAAAAAGAAACGAAAAGCTTGAAGCTATCAAGAAAGCTCGAGACACTGCAAAGCGATTCTCAAGATTGGAGGGAAAGGGTCTTGCCGACGGGGATGACGAAGATCTGAATGTTAAGAGCTGGCTAATGAAGCAAAAAAAACGTCAAAAACAAATCGAAAAAGCAAGAAAGCTAGAAAATGATTTAGCAGAGGCTGAAATGACAGCGGAATACACGGCAAAAGATCTTTCGGGTATCAAAGTTGGGCACGAAATATCCACATTTGAGGAAGGAGAGGAACAAATCCTGACATTGAAAGACACAACCATTGACGAAAATGAGGAAGAGGGTGATGAATTAGAAAACTTAGATCTGCGAGCGAAGGAAAAGTTGAACGAAACGCTTGAACTGAAAAAAAAAAAATCTGTCTATAATCCTTTGGACGAAATTGAATCGGGTGGACATAGTATCCTTTCACATTATGACGAGGAAATTGATGGTAAAAAGAAGAAAAATTTCACGCTTGACAGCCAGGGCAGTATACTTAAAAATACCATGGATGAACCCTCCCAGAACTTAAATATTATCAGCCTTGATACTGTTAGTAAGTCTTTTTTTATCCCAAAAATGTCAATAAATCTTTCTGATAATTCCAGATATCGAACCGATTTCAGATTATCTCGAGGTACCCCAAATAAAAATTAAAAAAGTAAAGAATAAGGTTAAATCATCGCGCCGAAAAAAGGTTGATGATGATGATATTCTTCTGCCCATCGATGATTCTATTACCCCGACCGGGCTCTTAAATATAAGAACTGATGCACCTGCTTCCAAGAGGCAAAAACTTTTGGATACTTCATTTATTGATGATGATGATTTACAAGGCTCTCTTGCTGCCCAGAGAAAGATTTCCCTCAAAAAACGCCAGAAATATCTTTCCGAACAACTTGTCAGACGCATACGAGAGAGTTCAACGAATGGATCGGCTGAAGGTGATGTAAACGATGAAGGATGCGGTCTTATTATTGATGAGACCTCCGAGTTTGTCTCCAATCTTCAAAAACCGACAAGTAAAGATCGAAAACAACGATCTTTACTTCGTCAGTCAAAGCCTGAAACAGCTATGAGCGATGATTCGGATGGAGACGGTGACGTGAACATGGAACATTCCTACATTACAAGCGAAGAAGCTCTTCAATCAAAAGCTCATGATACGGCAGAGGGGCTAGCATCTACGGATGTGACAAACAACGGGCTAGAGGCAGAAGCCACACTAGACTGTGGTCTTGGATCTACGTTGAAGCTTCTTAAGGGACGGGGAATAATCAAAACCGCTGACTCTGGAGATTTAAATGCTATCTATAGGCAAAAGCAACTATTTTTAGCAGAAAAACAACGCAGGGAAGCAGACGCAGAACTTAAGGCTCGCTCTCAAAGAGAACGCGATCGTACTAATGGCCGCTTGGACCGAATGTCTGCGCGGGAAAAAGAGGAATATGCTCGGTCACAAAACACACTCCGTGATCAGATTGAGTCCCGACAGCTTGCCGAACATTTCAACAAAGAGTATAAACCAAATGTAGAACTCAAGTATATTGACGAATTTGGGAGAAGTATGAACAAGAAGGAGGCTTTTAAGCACCTATCACATCAGTTTCATGGCAAAGGTAGTGGTAAGCAGAAAACCGAAAAAATGCTCAAGAAAATTGAAGACGAGAAGAGGAGGGAGGCTCAGAGTTCTTTGGATGGGAGCCAGATCGGGGGGATGAGCGGTGCGACGGCTCAGCAGCGTAAAAAACAGGGGCAAGCAGGTGTTCGATTGGCTTAAGTAGTCGTAAGTGCGTCATCTGAATGGAATTTAGGGATAAAAAGGTGCCTCTTCCTACCTGTAACGAATACTCTCAAATGTATTAACATAATCCAAAGAAAAAAATAAAGATAATTCAAAATAATGAGCTACAAAGATAGGTAAGTTCTTATGACTACCATTATATCCCATTACAGCGCGGTGGTTCTGTATCTCAGAGCGTGAAACCTTTTGACAGGTATCTTTCGGTAAGACCCCTGGTTTTCTATTAGTCTATTTGGTGGTGATTGTTGTAACGGCACTGATCACATTAGTATCTAGTTATAGTTTAGGTAATGTAGCACGCAAGGACAATGTGAGGGAATCAGATTAGTGATAAATCAGATACCACTGATCGCTATACTCACCTGTAGAATACTCCTAAAAGAGACTAGTTTCGGCGTTTCCTGGAAGTATTTGGGATTGGTTGATCATCACGTAAATAAATGTGTAACATGTAGCTATACAAGCTATTTTCGCAACTCTCACGCCGGCAAAGATTTATTCTTCATCTTCCAGTGGTGCCGGTGTAATTGTTCAGTATCCTCTACAAATCTGGGATAGCCTAGAACAATCGCACCCGAATCAAAGTCGAAAGCAACCTCAAACATATCTCCATTTGACGACTTCACGACAATGCCTCTCTTGTGTGACGCATCTGAGTCCTCAACCTCTTTCTGACTACATATCATCTCGCCTCAACGACCAATAAAGGCGTCGCCCCAATTGCAAACAGGAGGTTTCCTCATTTATTACCGGCCATCACTCACTACAAATTTACGACGCTAGGTATACCCGCAAGGAGGAAATTAAGTTATAATATACAAAGTTGGGGTTTTGGTTCACGGGGGAATGATGCTCTAATGGGACTATACATCCTGAGGAGGACAAGCGGGCGAGATGTGAAGCGAGAGGGGGAACAGGTCTCTGAATACCATGCCGTGACTGATATTTTCGAGGAGATTTCAACTTTGGAACGTTTGTGGGCGTCACGACCAAGATTTCGGCTAATTAGCCAGGAGGGCTTCTTTTGTCGATGAGTCAACGGCACTCCCCAGCGCCCTGGACGGTACAAAAGAAGTTGGGCTTAGCTACTATACAGCAATCACGCTCTGTCAAGAGTTTTCTGGCATTTAAGCACGACCTTCGGGAAGGAGGCTAGAAAGGCAGAGGGTAAATTTTCCGAGGTACCCACAAGTCTGCAGTGTCCAGCTCGCCGGCCTCTTCGAACGCTTCATAAGGGTCACTATGTCTTCGGATATAGTCCTGAGTTGGTACTAGAAGAGCCCCGCACCCAGTGGCTTTTACGATTTTTACGATTTTTACCGGCTGCCAAACGCCCGTAAATGGCCATCGTTTAGTTGGCTGGAGAGGGGAGATAATGAAGGGCAAAGGAGGGGATATACTACTGGTATAGTTATCCTTGGCCTGTAGACAGAGAGGACCTGCATGTCCTACGTAGTTATAGACTCAGAAAGGACAATAAAATGAATTAATAAAATAACAAAAATTCGCAACCCTCACACAGTATTGCCATGACCACCCAAGTATATTTCAAGCCCCCTGAGTAGTTTCATCCGCTTAATTCAAGATACCAATTGTTTATGACCATAAACAAAACCACCCTTCAATAGTGATTCCCAACAACCTCTGGATTTTTCTTCACAGTAAGCAAAGTGCAAAAGGAAATTTAAGGCTGCACAGCGGTCAAATTTTGTTAACACGTAGCTAACCTCCAATTTTTAGAGTCAAAGATGGTTAGTAGCATGCGATGAGTATGACCCTATTCCCCCATCAGGTAGCGTATATCTTATGGGACCTATCTCTTCAACATTAATCCAATTATGCTGAAACCATCACCTGAAACTAAATCTTACCAATAGTTTGACAGGGAATTTCCTCGTACCCTTAGCTATGTCCTTGGTATGGGGATAAACAGTATCGATGCTATCGCATGAGACCGAGTGGTATGCGGGGCATGTATTGCCGGGCTTCATGGCGGGAGGGAGGGTAACCTAGGAAAGTGTCAAGCCTCCAAAATTTCAACCCGTCTCACTTGAATCACGAATCTGACAGGGGTCTGAAGACCATGAATCATGCGTGTTTCTCATGAAATCTCAAGGACTTGAGCTTAGTAACCCAGGCCGGTCACGTTTTTTTTTCATGGGGAGAATCCCACGAAGATTATGTAGCGGAGAAAATGCAAGAATGACTAGCGCATGTCCCAAACGGTGAATTGAGATAGTGACACGCGAGACGTCTGAGCAGATGAGGTGAAATGATTGCTGTTCTATATTGGATCGTATCGTACCCAGCTGTTTACGATTGTAAAGAGATACTGAGGAAATTTGCCTCATTAAAAATTTCAGTAGTTAGCTTCGGCTGTTTCTAAAGATTGCTGGTCAGTCTCTAGTTTTCATCTTGGCAGGTCGTTACTGCTGGACAGCCAGCTGGATGCTATTAATCAAATTAGAATTTTCAATCATCTTTATTTTGCGCTCCGAGGGCTGATGCAGGTATTCTCGGAAGATGTGTATTTTTAAGTATGACTTATTTTAACATTGATAACAGTCAAACTCAATTTCAATTTATATATGCCACCCGAAGCTATTCCCTGAAATATATAATTTCTTCCATGAACACCCGCCAGGGAAAAAGCGCAAGACCTCATGGTAATTGGAATATGTAATCGTCACCCTACAAACACGGTATCGCCGTGAGAGACTTTGTAATGTGGATCATACCCGATTTAAATAAACTTTCTTCTGTAAATAGTTGGGCGTATATCCAATGTACCGGAACGTAACTTGGAATAGCCGGAATAGTGTACCACTGCACTACACAACCCATCTACTGCCGACGCAATGGCATCTAATTTCCTTAATTGGAGTCTGCCTTTCAACCAACAACGGTATACACAAACATAATTTTGACCCTGAATTTAATCGAGGTCTACAGATGGTCCAGGTCTCGTTTACTTCATGTTTACTTACTATCTAGGATCGACCCGTGAACAGTTTTGCAAAGGAAACCTGATTCCAGCCCCAAGCATTTGATTCCTGCCTTCCGTCTTGGGCCAACCATTCGCTGTAGGTTTGAATGTGACTCAAAGAGCAACCAGCTTCAAGCTCGCTTTGAAAGCTTGGATACTCGCCCTGGCTCCTCGCACGATGGCTGCGTTCCAAGCTTTTTATCCTAGCGTTGAATAAGTCGAAGAACTTTCTGTCACTATGAGCTGTAATACATACAAATCTTGCAATCCTGAATTCAATTTAAGGAGAGTCCAACCCAAAAGAGTTGGAGTTAAAGATAGGTGTTGTCCGGTTGCTGTCAGGTAATCAGCGGCGACCTCAGAGATCGTGCTGACTTGTCCCATAATAGCAAGTTCTTTGTGACAAAACTTTTTGTGGTTCTAGCGTTACCAGTTAACATTTAGGGACACGCGACGGGAGCGCTGTTGAGAGCGCATATTGGTTTAACCGACTTCAAATATAGCCACAACAGCTTTGCCGACGTCTTTGGATCCGACCAAGCCGAAAGTAGTATTTTTGCTCAAGCCGGCCTTCAATATTGCGGTTAGAATGGAGCCGGATAGGTCGTTGAAGTTTTCCATGAAAAATCCCGGACGAATAATACTGTGACGGCGCAAGACATTATCAGTCAGAGAGGCATCTCGTGTTAAGATAAAGGCCTCTCACGTCCAGGACAAGCCTTTGGATCCAAGGTCTTTACAGTGGTTTTCGATTGCAGCTTTGGCCTTTCCCGAAAGAGTAAGGAGATGTTCGTATTGCGGCCCGGCCCGGCTTCCACTCGAGTAGATAAATGATTGTACTCCGTATTCGAGGGCCAAGTCGGCCAGCATCTAGGGCGCGTTAGATATTCCGGGTCTCCCGTGATGCCTTACCTTGCCTTGCCGTTCCTCGCCATCTGCATTTGTGCTCAGACCCGGATATGCTAGAATCACCACCACTCCCCAGAAGCCGGCAGGGCTCTCAAGATTATGTGAATCGGCCTGAGCCCTTTTAAAGATTTGGACTATCGATTCAGCATCGTCGAGATCTCCCGTCAATGCTGTCAGTCGCGGATCGTCGGCCCAGTTAAGTCGGCTGACGTTACGCGTGAGCGCATAGATATGATATTCATGTTCTAGCTTTGTCTCCCCTGGCGTTAGGAAGGCCTGGATAATAGCCCGTCCTTGTTTACCCGTCGCACCAACAACCAGAATTTTGCGCGGCATGATTAATTGCCTCTCGATGCAACAATGATAAATATATAGATATACAGTAGAATGGCCGATTTAATATTCGAAGATAGCGTTGTGCTGGGGGAAACAGCGCGTGAACGGATAGGTCTTGTCGCGTACCTGTGCCGTAGCAAAGATGTCGAGGGTACAAATGCTATGTAAGATCTGGCTCCTTCATGATGAATATCGCGCCGGGCTATGCGGACGATTACGAAATGGAGCTCTCCTGTAACCCCTGCCAGGTACATCTTATGTCATGGTCTAAATGATGTAGCCTAAGGCAGGACAGTAGCTAAAATATCGGGTGAGTGATTATGTTGATTGTCCTAATGAATTTATGACCATGTAAGGACATTCAGGATTTCTACCTATAGGCCGGGACTACCTATGCCTCCTTCACGATTTCTTTCCAGCAGTAATACTCCTACAGGGGGTTGGATGGTGCAGTGGTACACCATTCGGCCCGTTCTCCCAAGTAGATACTGGGTAGCTTGAACACCTACTCCATTTGAGCCGGGAGAAAGCTGGTTCGAATTCAGTAAAACCCATCCACCACACTCTCTCACGGTGAGATTGTATTTGTGGGATGATGAAAGCACACTCGGATGACCATAGTTTTTCCACGCTTTTCCCTGTGGTGGGCATACACGGAGGAGGTTATACGTCGTAAGGGTTAACCTCGAGTGGTATCTGCAAATGAAATCTGAATACGAGTGTTTTAAACTTTAAATTCTGCCAACCTAATTGAAGTACATATCTTTCGATAAAACCTGCATTAGCCCTCGGAGCGCGAAACAAAGATGATTGAATAATTTATTTATTTTTATTAGTACCCCAAAGGTCTTCATTCGAGTATACTGTAAAGTATTATACAGCACTTGTTCCTCGCTGTCTACAAGAAAATATTGAAGTTTATAATGGATAAATTTATTAAAATTAACTAGTTTCTTTCATGTAGAATCTAGAAGTTCTCTATAGTCATAGACTCAGATAGGACTATAATACAATCTAATCATTCGAGTATACGCCAAGGGGAGCCGTTATGCCGTCACTATTTCCCCTCTCTAGCCAATGAAACGGTGGCCATCAGCGCCCGTGTATCTGCAGGTAAAAGTCTTAAAAACCACTGGATGCAGGGCTTTCCTTATGACGAAGAGGCCGGGCGTTGCAGACCTGTGTATACTGAAGTGCGTCTCTCAACCTTCCTAGCCTTCTCCTCCCCTACTTCATGCTGCAGGACATACCGAGGGTCGTGAAAGATGTTGATATGACAAAGGTCATACGCTAAAAGTCTATCAGTTCACTTAAAGTTATGAGAGTACTTGTGTAAGTATTTTGAACTATCGTTCCGAAGAAATGCGCATTAATGGTTTATTCGTTATCTAGTTTACAATGATGCTGCAAGATATTAACTATGTTGCGTTCGGATAAAGTATTATCCGAATGACGGAATCCACAACGAAGGAAATCGTTTGCATGTAAACCAAGAACCACCAACTCCAAGTAAACCAAGCTATAGATGATCTTCCAACAAAAGGATATCAGAAAAAATTGGCACACCAGTCTTTTGCACGCTTAGTTCACACACGTTATTTGAATATTTTCAGCATATTTCATTCCCCTCCTCTTAACTCGCGTGCTTTAGGCAGGCTCTCCAAATCTTTTTTATTTTTAGGCGCGCGCTTCATGCAAGAGATTATTGAGATTGTCGAGTAACCAATGTATTTCAGATGCCCGCCTGACTAGTATATTCGGAATTAAGGAGTAGAAGAGACGGTATTGTTGACGAGTTGAAATCAGCTTTTCTTGAAGGCGGAAGTGTGGTCACAAGGGGTTCAGATATGATGATTATTACAAGATTGATTGTTTCTGTCGATTGGCCTTAGTGTGTGTGCACGTAATGTTACGTGAATGCAAAATGAAAGGTACAAAAGTAAGGTATGTATTATGTCTTGTGTCTATCTTCTCTGTCTAAGGACATTGAGAATGTGTAGTTTGTGTTATTGACTGAGTCATCAAGACAATGACTCAGCAACGGAGAGATGCACCACGCTTAGTGCATATCAAATGTAACTACTTTCCGACAGTTTCCCCATTTGATTTGACTTCATTGTCCTGATTTAGCGCCTTATGGGCCTTGTAGATGTCTATCATACTTTCTAGTTTACATGGGAGGAAACTTATTGGTGAAAACCCCCCAAACTTTCCTGATTATTGTCTATATTTTTCTAGTTCTTCAGGAAGCACAGTTACACTATAGTGCCCTCCATGTTAACCAATCACATTATCTTTATCGAACTCAAGAATGGCTTGACCTATTCCTATCGCCCAGCAGCATTTCGGCCGCCTTTGTCATCTGGAATTGTTCTATCCAACAATGATTTAGGATCCACTGTGTCACCTTTTGGTGTCTCCAGAATCGTTCAGCATAGCTTTGTAGGGTCGATGTTTGGATTTTCTCCAAATCTCTCCTCTTCCGTTTAAACATCGAGGGCGGGACATAATCATGTGCTTGGGGTTCTGCGATTGGTTGCCACATGGACAGCTTGGACTGTAGACTCCGGGTACTTTTCTTCTATATAAATACGAGTTGAGCCCCATGTGCTCACTTCGTATTTGCATTGCTTGACTGCTTTGGTGCCCTCTCAGGCTTCAGTGGAGTAAAAATGGCGATTCCTGGAGACTTATTTTACATTGTTCCTAATTTCGGTTCTGATAGAGTTTAACTGCCCTCCAGGTTTCGGGGCCGGCGATGGCTAGTTGTCGAGGCTATTGAATTCGCCTTTATGTTGGCCAGGATTTAGCCTATTCTTGGTATGCTGCGACTTTTCCCGCTTCTTTCTGCCTTTTTTAGAATGGTATTCCTCACTAATTTCCACTAATTTCCACCTAGTTTTCCAGATCTAATCCCCTTTGAATTGCGGGAATATCTTGTATTTCTCGTTTGGGCAGCTTGATATTACTACAGTCAGATTGTATGAGCTTTTGAACCGGTACATTTCTATTTATAAGGTGGCAGTTTGTGTTCTAGGATTATCTTACTAGTTCGCTTACGTGCTCCCGTGACAACAATTAAGCAGGATCTTTGAGAGTTTCCAAGGGTTGTGACTATTTTTTCAGGCTTTTTGACTACCTGGCCCGACCTCGGCCTCGATTGGGGACCCGTACGTGAAGCCTGGTCACACTAGTGTGCTGTACATTCGCTTTAGCTCGTGGAATATCATCTTCCACGTGGACTGTGTTAGACTACTCGTCACCTAAACCTACGTCTCTATCTGTAACTGTTCACTTTTGACATGCGCTACCCGGTTTAGCTTCGGATCGAAGTATTCCGTGTGTTATTTATTGTGATAATTGATTAGGATCCAAGTAGAATCATAGAATCTGGAGAGGAGGTTGTCGGTCTGTTATGTGTCCTCGTGTCTCATTTGTCGCTTTGAGATTATGCCTTTCTTGGCAGGTCAGGAGTGCATCGTCTAATATCTTTCGGATGTAGACCTTGTGTAGCATCTTCAATTCATGAAAGTTTTCCTTTATTGTGTTGCATATTTTACTGAATAATTTTTTCGTTGTACGGTGACTGAATATTTCCACGTCTCAATGACGTAAACACCACCTCTAGAATCTTTGACCCATCCCCTGCCCGAACCCCAGCCGCATGGCTGGCCTGACGGTGAGAGAAGACAGGCCAAACTCCACCCTCTAGATCTTGAATAATCCCTGCAATTGGCAGGCACTGTTCAGCCCTTTTTGTTTTTGTTTTTTTTTGCATCAGATTTTAATTGCGTATGCAGCTATCTAGCTATGACACAAAATCAAAGAAAAGTACAGAAAAGATGACTCAATTTACAATAGGAGCACTCATGCCTCGGATTTCATGGTACATTTCATTGCTCTGCGAGATCTTTAGGTACATATACCTCCTGCTAATAGAATCATCTCTTACAAATGCATGGGGTTGTATGACGTGCGTTAAAGGTTCTTATCCATCCGAAAACAGGCAAGCGCTAAAACCCCCTCAGCGGTATCATCGCTGCTCTTGAGATATAAATATCTTCGGCAAGGCAAATTTGAATTGTATTCCGCAACTTGGAGAAATCTACCCCGGACGACGGCGATAAAATACTCCGGTTTACGTCAACTTCATGGAGTACGGAGGCGGAACACTTAATGGTAAAGTTAACGAACCTGATGAGATATTTTCTGAGAGTCAAAATTTAGTCAGGACTCGGCAACTTTCTTTGTGAGAGGTGTTGGCTCGTTATAAGTCAAAAACACGACGTATTTCACGACTTTAAAATACATTGGCCTCCACTATCTTCACCCCTAATATGAAACGTATGTAGGCTCAAACTTTACTGATGTTCATGGTTTGTATAACGGATGTCCTCTGCCACCTATATTTTCCAGACAAACTCATCTTGAAACCTACTGAAATTTTTCAAAATCAGAGAGTCAGAATCTTCATCTAAAAGGAAAGAAAGTATCAAGCATTCCGCAACTGCTGCGCTACTTAAATCTCTGGTCTGAGTATCGTCCTTGAATGGGTCTACACGCCAGCCTAGGGTGCTATTAGCTCGACATCCAGCAAATCGCCACTAACGAAATAGGCATGAGATTCCACCAGCACAACAATTGGAGCATTCCACAAAGCCGAGACATCGATGTCTCGCCTTCGAGGTCTAATTCTGACGTTCGACCTCCACGCTTAGGGGTTTGGCAACGACAAGGCAAGGCCCGTAATTCCATTGATGTCAAGATTCCGAGGCTGGTTTTCTAATGGACTTAGGAGACGTACATTGGTAAGTGAAAGGGTAGCGAACTAGAAGAAGCATTTGATAAGGAGATATCTGAGAGAGAGCTATGACTGAACGGAAGGGAAAATTTTAAGAACGGTGGGTGTCACGAGATCGGGCGCGTAGTGTCTAAGGAGAAATTTAGGCTCCCATGTCTAAAAATTATGTGAAGCCCGAGGTGGGACCAGGCCATGTACTTAGAGTTCACTACATCTAACCCAGCCCCTCTCGTACCCAAGCTCCCCAAGAGTGCGGAGTAAGCAAACTGCCTGGTATAATAACTTAAACCCAAAATTCTTAGCAGGGCCCAGAGCAACATTGCCACAAAAGTAAGAAGCGGGCACATTGGGCTCAATGCTTACTTGTACAGAAGCAATGTGCCAGGTGTAGGAAAATCATGCTGCCAATGTGGATATCCGTACCAAAATACAAAGCACATGGCGATTTCTTGCTGAAGATGGGCAGAGGGAAGAGTCGAGATGCTACGAAAATCGACAACCCGATCTTTCGAATCTGTGATAAATAACTTTAAAGATATAACTAGAATTGCACAGTGGATTCAAAAGGAAGGATGGCTAGAGCAGTTTCGAATGACCGGAAAAGTCGAGGCGCTAATCAGGCGAAGAGAGGAAAATGGAAACACAGGACAAGGGCGGAACCCACACTTGCAACAACAGTATGAGTGCACTTCCTAGAGGTAAGACTATAATGGCGTAGAGTCCAATCATACAGCTGATGAGGTTTTTGCTGCAAGGTTTAATCCTGTATAAATATTAAAGTTAGTAGACACCTGCATGGGCCCATTGGGCGCCAAATCTGGCTATATGAAATCAAATTCAAAATATAAAAACAAATATATTACTAGACCGAGTCTCGCGAATATTCCCGCTTTTTAATTGGCTTCTTCTGTATAATCTGAGCTGTAGAGTACCCTAGAAACTCGTATCAAATACAAGTCATTTTCTTCACTGGGAAGCCTCAATCGACTGACAATTGAGAACTTTTTATGCTCGCACCTTCTTTATGAAAAAGAAAATTTCTTCGTATCCAATATTCGGATATTATCATGAATTCCAGTCTTGTGCCGTCACTGTCATATTATTACCCTTAATGCTATATAAATGCTTCAGATCTCGATAATGGGACAGTGATGCATAGCCTTCATTGAATGAGTTGCCGGATCAATAGAAAAGTTATCTTTCATATTGTATGGATGGCGATTTGCCAGATATCCTGTATTAGTATTTTTGAGTGGCTCCTTGACAAACACAGTATCAGTGGATGAATTGTCCGTTTGCACCGTAGAGCCTTCTAAGAAGGTTGAACATAATCTCGTTCTTTCTTGATAATTATGACTCCTCAAGTATCTGAAAAGATCAGAGGATGGTGAGAAAACTGCGTGGAGGATCGTAAGTCTAATGAATAAGGAGTCTCCAGAAAAAATCGAGGATCACGATAAATGCTTCTTATTTGCATACGAGCGATAGATAATTTAGAATCAATCCACAGTTTGTATTTCAGCTTAATTGACTGGATTGACTGGCTCATGTTCTCGCTATGCCCCTGCGGGTCGCAGTCTTGACTCAATGTTAGCTCAAACACACAACGACCGCGTTAATATTGATACATAAATCTCAGGTTTACGCTACCAGTTCAACTCCCATGTTAGTTGAAGTGAAGTCAATAGGTGGTAAGTAAAGCTTAAGAATTAGTCTGACAAGGTAATATCGGCGTTATGGATAAATACAAGCTGTGGTGTGAAGTAATTTATTACAAACAAACTTGTCCAGAGAGTCAAATAATAGAGAAAGGGGCTGAGCTCAATCTGTGCCGTATCAGACGGGTTCCTAGGGTGACATGATTTGGGTAGCTCGACACAAATTAACCCATCAGAGAGTGCAATTACCCCCGAGTCGCACGGTTTACGCGCAACGACAGATTTCATGTCAGCGAGAAACTTGATGGGTCTCATGACCTTGGGGCGACATAGGTAGGCTATTTGTGCTAGGGCAGTTATCGTTGAATGTCTGCAAAGCGTGAAGAATTGTCCTTGGAAACGATGTTGGACTAGGTCGAGGCCTGTTAGTCTACCTTGAGTTAATCGTCAAAATAATGATGTTTAAAGCAGTGGCGCAGCCTCTACATGCTCAGGCCCCGTGTTTGATGATCAGCCAACAAACCGTAAGCGGTAGTCTGCTGGCACCAAATCAATACAATTGGAACCTCTTCACCATGGCACCAGGGAGATGTGAGGATGTGAGGCGCTCAGGTCGAAGGGCTTCGTACTTTGAGCGAAAGTTTGTCAGGGCAGCATCCTCAAATAAACCATGAACTTGCCATCCGCCGTTCTACTTAGACCTCCCGACAACGCTTCAACAACCGCAAATCCTTTCCTGCTCCTTAGTCATCTGCTAGCACATGACCTCCCAAGGAAATCCTCCGCGGCTCCTGCTCTGCTTCAACTACAACTTCAGCAACATACGCCCGATCCCCTCGTGACCTATGATCAGGTAGAATTTGGGGCCAGTCATGAATCTTTAACTTCCCTCTCACACGAGCCTCGGGCGGCCTCGAATGAAAGGAGAAGTGTTAGAATCAGGGCTCTTTTGCGAATGTTCGAATGTTCGAATGTCTTTATCAGCCTGCTACATTGCATTATGTCTGTTAGTGATCCGCTTATCCCTTCAATCTTCTCTTCGGCATCCATCCCTTATTATCTCGGACCGGTCTCTTCGTTTATTCCACTTGATCCTTACGACGTTCGGGGTTGACAGCATCTATAACAGCTAACTTTGAGAGTCGGTCATTACTGGATCATGTTTGGAAAATTGGTATATGATCGACTGAACTTAATGGACCGGGAATGAGATGTGGTCGGACACAATCCCTTTCAGGGTAGACAAATTGTTGGACACATTTTTGCTGGAAGTTTTGCCCCGTGGGCCGACCGTCATCTTGTGACCAATTTTCAAGTCGGGGAGAACATTTTATGTTTCGGTTCGTGGAGGACATTCACTTTTACCAACGCTCTTTGACCTCTAATATTTCTTCGTGTCGTAGCGGCTTTACCCGTTGGTAAAGATTGGACTCCTAAATTTACATCATATGGCCTTGTCCATGTTGCCATTGAGGGTTGGGCAAGGTTATGGTCACGTGATAACATATACATTTCTTGATTGCCTATCTCAGATGTGAGACGCTCCCTTATTCCGAGTCACGCGCTAAGATCCTATCACGTGAGTACATGCACGCGTGACCAGCCCTGCGGCCAACGTTGTAAGCTTTGACAGCCGACCTTCAGACTCGGCTGAGCACCTGCGAAGATCAGGTGCGAGATCCCCCGAGGATAATAACCAAAATTATGTCATCACCAACGGCGATTGTTTACCTTGTTAGCTCTAACAGTCATCTTCAACAATATCCATCTCTTCCGCTGACTTTCCTCCAAACTCAATAATTAATGCTTCAATCAAGTCGCTGTCATTTTATGCAATTCACCCCAATACCAAAGCCCCTCCACCACGATTCCAGCACTTCATTTAAGTCGCATTTCTTCCGATAGAAACGAATGATCGTCGGCTAAAATCGCAGCAAGCAAGTCCCCAGGGCATGGCGAGGTCTTTCCGATCGGGTAAAAAGTATGCTGCACCACGTAGCTGTGCTGTATAGTTATTCAATGCATGGCTGGGTGTCACAAATCTCCGGGTGATCTGGAGCGTGACTTTTATTACGGCACAATGATGCCATTGCCATTAAGCTTTCTACCACTGCATTGATGATACTCCACCATTCACCTATTTTCGTCAACAATTGCTCCCGCCTCTAATCTTTGCTGACAGTCATACTTCCAATAAATACTAGTAGAGTCCCATGGCTACCTTATACCAGATTTTTTACTTAACTCACTCGGTCTATCCAAGGCTCGCCGTCCAGTATATCTGCTTCAACGATACAAACGAGCACGTCTTGGTGCGGCCATGCATACCCTAATCACTTTACTCTTATTTGTTCCCCTCACGTATTCGTCCCCTACGTCTTCGCCTCAATATTATTTACGCGAGCTTACAACTTTGAGAGATGCTGTTGACTCATTCATCGCCACCGAGACCCCAATTGCCCTATCCAACATACGTTGTAACATTGGCCCAGCTGGAAAATGTGTCCCAGGAGCCCATTCTGGTCTTGTAATTGCTGGGCCTGGCAAGGAAAATCCTGACTGCAAGTGATGATGCAAAGAGCGTCGACTTAATCTTTTCACTGACTTGTTTAGACTTTTATACATGGTCTCGTGACTCAGCGTTAACATTTAAGAGTCTGGTGGACATCTTTGTCAATGATTACGATCCCTCGCTTCAGGCCCTAATCGAGGACTATGTCACCAGCCAAGCATATCTTCAAACTCTCAGCAATCCCTCTGGTGATCTTTCTAGTGGGGCTGGACTCGGTGAGCCCAAGTTTAATGCCGATAGGACTCCATTTACAGCGTCTTGGGGTCGTCCTCAGCGTGACGGACCCGCTCTACGGGCTACTACGATGATCGCCTACTCCCAATGGCTCATTGAAAATGGCTATAGCTCAACAGCCAGTGAAACTGTATGGCCTATAATTCGAAACGATTTGAGCTACATTGCACAATATTGGTGCGTTCCTGTCATATCATTCAAAGGCTCTCGCTAATCTTTCCCCAAGGAATGAGACGGGATTTGATCTTTGGGAAGAGGTAGAGGGCTCCAGTTACTTCACAATCTCATCGCAGTACCGTGCACTAGTTGAGGGAAGCACATTGGCCGCAAGACTAGGAAAAAAATGCGAGTCTTGCGAAACCCAGGCTCCCCAAATTTTATGCTTCCTGCAAAGTTTTTGGGACCCCCACCGTGGCTACATGTTGGCAAATATCAACGATAAGTCTGGTCGTAGTGCTATAGACTCCAACACCATATTAGCATCCATCCATCAGTTTGACTCGGCTTTTGGTTGTGACCGCTTGACCATGCAGCCGTAGGTCCCATTCCATGGCGCTTTGATCCCAAACTGACCCCTAGTAGGTGCTCGGATCTAGCCCTGTCCAATCACAAGATTGTAACGGATTCGTTCCGACCCGTCTACGCCGTCAATTCTGAAATTCCTCTTGGTAGGGCGGTGTCTGTGGGTAGATATCCCGAGGATGTTTACTATAACGGTAATCCTTGGTATCTTGCCACTTTCGCAGCCGCCGAGCAACTTTACGATGCCATCTACACTTGGGAAAAATACCAAGTGATCAACGTTACCGACATCTCAATTGGATTCTTCCGCGATTTAATCCCAACCATCCGTACTGGAACTTACACAGAAGCATCCTCCGTCTATCATCAAATCATTGATGCCACATTTTCTTACGCTGATGGATTCATGCAAATTGCGGCTACCTATACACCCACAAACGGTTCACTTTCGGAGCAATACGAAAAGAGGACTGGTAACCCTCTTTCAGCTTACGACTTAACCTGGTCATATGTTGCCTTTATTTCAGCTGCGGCCCGCCGCTCTAAAGTAGTTCCTCGCTCCTGGGCCCCGGACTTGCCGATCAACTCGATCCATCAGTTACCCTCTGTGTGTATTGCGTCTCCGCAAAAAGGTACCTATTTAGCTGCACCAAGTCCAACTTGGCCATTAAACCAAACCCCCATTGGCTACACACCAGACCCGACTAACAGCTTTCCCACACCCGCGCCCACGACCCCATGTAACCCACAACCTACCGTGCTTGTTACCTTTAGCGAACTTGCCAAGACAACTTATGGTGATACGATAAAAATTTCTGGTTCCATACCTGATTTGGGAAACTGGAATCCGGAACTCGCTGTTCCCCTCTCGGCTGATCAATACAGCGCCAACCACCCACTCTGGCAGGGAACCATAACCTTAGATGCAGGACTCTCATTTGAGTACAGATATATTAACGTTAAATCAGATGACACTATCCAATGGGAAGAAGGAATCACTCACACATTTAGTGTACCCACTGGTTGTGAGACAGCAATTTCAGTCGTTAACAGATGGCGGATGTATTAAAATATGAAGATTATGAAGAAGCTAGTGAGATGAAAACTGCAATTGGCCGAGTATCAATACGTTTTCAAACGTTCAAATTAGTATCAATAAATTGGTGAGGAGTTATTGCGCCCTGGCAGAAAATTAATCCGGAGTTACTAAGGGAAAGATTCAAAACTGAGGTGCTTGTCTAATTACCGCGACCGGCTTGATTGGATTCATTAGAAACTCTGTACTAGACACCACTAGAATTGTATATTTTCAATTACGTATCTATAAAATATGCAGAACAAGTCAAGTGATGTATCTGAGCTGGCCTAATTTAATTGGCTGTGCATTAAACCAAGCTTTCAAATCATTCGAAACCAAGGACTCTGCAAGCTTTTTGTAGTCGTAGTAAGATGGAATTTAAATTATAATCTTCAAACTGAAACCTGACGCTCAGCTCTTCCTATGCAAAGCTTGAAGTGCCTGAGGTTTTAAGGAGAGTTAAGAAGTCAAATCTGTAAACACTAGAAGATAGAGAGATCTGTAGCTATGGTAGAAGCGACTCAAGGCTGGTAGTTCTAGAAAAGGAGCGTAAGTAAAGACAAAGACTTGAATCATTGAAAGTTTAAAATACCACAGGAAGTTGTAAAAGCGAGGGAAAGGAGGGGGGGACGAGGACCGAATATCTGTGAGCGACATTCTTACGAGTTTAAAAGTGAAATATTTTACTATAGTCTAGTTCAGCCAAATTTTGCAGTAGTGGGGAAGTTGGTCCACGAGGCAATTATCCAAGGCTTCCGATCATATCATTCTTCACTCCTAGCGAGATTGACTTCGACCAAAGATCATGGAGTCTACAATAATGACCTATGTACTCCCGATCACTGTAGCCACACTTCTAAAGCTTGAGTATGGATGGAAGAATGGATTCCTTGACAAACAAAGGTTTCGAGGCTTCCCTTTGGTAGGTCCTCACGGTTGAAGATTTAATATATCGTGTGAGCAAGCGCACCTCGTGGCAAATTTTTGAATCACATCTAGAGTGTGAGTGCCTGGAGTCCAAAGAGTCGTGCGACATGTACACCGAGCATCATGCTTGTGCCATGACTAAATGACAGCACCCACATTAAATGAATCAAAGAGGTGCCCAATGTGCTAGATAGTCTATGACTCAAGTAGTACAATAAAATACACACACTCTCTCTGTCTGCAAGTTAACTATACAATGAGACTGGAAATAAGCGAGTGGTAACAAAGACGTCATCAGTGCTTCCATAACGCCAGACTGCCGTAGGTATTCTAATTCAACCCCATACCTGTTTAATGCATCCCGAGCCACTTAACACATGCGAGTGCTCGATAGCGAATCCGCGCATAGCTACATGTATTTGTAGATCATATTGTATTCAGCTGTACAGCTATGACAATTCGTAGTTAGATCATGTGGCTCGAATCGGTCTGATTTCGGACGTGAATTTAAGCTTCTCTGCTATCGAAGCAAATCGCCTAGCTCAACGAGAGGTGCGGTGGAGGAAACAGTGCGAGGGGCCCATAAATCAAGTATGTGATTGGCTTCTCGCGCCCGCGGGAACAAGTCATGCGAGCACCTGCGTGGCGGAACCCATCTTGACATGCACGAAGTTACTGTGTCCAGCCCGACATTGAGTTGGATAGCAGCGAGGGTCTCGAGGGCCTGTATATCTGCACACAGCCTTGATTCGAGGAAGGCATATTGTGATTGATATATGATTTGGGAGTATACACTTGTGCTGGAACAGCGAAGATAATTTGTGGAGAGTTATCTTCGTTAGTATGTAGACGTGAAGTTACTATGATGAAAGCACACTCGGATAGCCATAGGTATTTCACGCTTTTCCCTGTGGTGGGTATGCACGGAAGAGGTTATACGCCGTAAGGGTTAACCTCGAGTGGTATCTGCAAATGAAATCTAAGTGTGATTGTTCTAATCGTCAAATTGAGTCATCCTACTTAAAGTACATATCTTCCGATAAAAACCTGCATGGGCCTCAAGGCGCCAAATCAGGTGAAAATGAAACATATGTGTATGTTCCCTAGCTTGTTCGCTTGTAGACCGATCACGCTACCAGTATGCAGCTCACCAAAGTGTGCTCCCAACTGAGCAGCCATGCCATTTATACTATATCAACAACCCATCTCTCATACTGCGCACATTACTACATGTAATGTCGTTATGTAGAGACTGAATCTCCTCCATGCGCCATAATGCCACACTGCCATAATAACTACCTATGCACCAGCTACTAGTTCTACCATACTACATAGCTGAGCACAACAAGGCACAAGTCATGTGATAAATATCTGCCGGAAATAACGAGGCGGCCTCAAGACACACAAGATTCCATCATCATACTAGTGATCAACACTGATCATCGACTAGAATTCATTTCAAGTCCTTACTGCGTCTATGCCTATTGTAACGGCTAGTGAGCCGGTAATTACCCTGTGGCACATGATGTTAATCACGTGCTTCACAACTTTACGAAACCACTATTCTATCATAGATTAATCTGGACATCACTAGAAATTTCTAGCAACTAGTAGTAAGACTGCGAACCAGCCTCAGGGGAAAATACTAGAAACTGGTATTAGTCAAGAATATTCTAGATAGAATAGTAAGCGAATAAATAGTTGAAGTTGGACGTACATAGATAGCCATAGAGAAAATAATAAACAACCTTCGTATATTTGATCGCCCCAGCATCTATACCTCGAACCGTGACATATTATTTTCTCTCATTCAGGCATTCAGAACCGCAGTCAGTCGCAGTAATTCAGTATCGCAGTCAGTCGCAGTAATTCAGTATCGCAGTCAGTCGCAGTAATTCAGAACCGCAGTCAGTCGCAGTAATTCAGAACCGCAGTCAGTCGCAGAAATTCAGAATCGTAGTCAGTCACAGTAACTCGGAACCGCAGTGAGTTGTAGTCATTCAGTAATAAATCTCAATAATAATGACATCATCGGTAACCGGGGGACGCCACCAGATGGTACCTATCGAGGAATTCCGCGAACTTCAGCATCAGTTTAAAAAATTGCTCGAAAAGCAATCTTGTAAACCTACGTCTACTAAAAGATTTATCATTGAGAAGGATCCACCACCAAGCGAGCACACCAGTCTAAAGCCGACAAAGCTTCCGGAATTCATTGGAATTAGAGCTGAATACCCAGCATGGCGTGCTGCTGTCTTGGATACTTTCCGTATTGTTTAATGACTTAACGATCAAATGATCAATATGTATTTCCTTAGAACTAATGACTAATTGTGTTGATGAGTAATGAGGTACCCGTTTGGGAATGGCGTTAGGAGACGGAGGTTTTATGGTTTATAGATGTTTTTCTTCTAGGAAGACAGGGGGGAGATAGATCAATTCATACGTACCATAATTGTTACTGCTACATCAAGCTTTTGATATCAATTACCACCGAAGTATTCCGACACTGATCAGTTTTCGAATTCAGATCAGAATACCTGTGAAGAGAGAAACAAATAAGTTCAGTCCCTGATAAAGGCCTCTGTTCAATTTGTTTTTGCTAAGGAATATATTTTGAAAGTCGTCCCCTGAAAAAGGCCCTCGTCTTCCAGTCTATATTCAAGAAATCAACCCCTGATAAAGGCACTTGATTTTGCGTCCATCACGCACTCATACACCCATTCCGAACTTAGATAAATTCTCAATTTAATAGGAAATTAACATCATACCCTCTATACCCTCAATCTTACTGTCAATTCTGCACAGTCAGATCTTTGCATTTCCGATTTTTCTTTCCACGCTGAAAATCCCACTATAAGATACCTATATACCCAGATAACTTACGCAATGGCAGAAACAAGCGTTAAGAATGACATCGCCTCATCCGGACAAGAAGACCAACAAAGGTCTGTAAATAATTATATAAGGGAAAAGATACGTGAATTTTCGGAATTCAATTTTAAGGATGATAATCTTTGGGAGGCATACAAAGATGAATTTTCGCACTTCACTGAAGCTGATTTCAAGGCTGCATCGCTTTCAGTTCAACGCTGTCTTCGACTTTACCAGAGGTCGAACGGAGTTTGGGTAGAATGGGACGGAAAGAGAAAAACTACAATCGCCAAGTCCTTACACAATACTTTGATGGAAAAAATACCATCTGAATGGGCTTTTGAAGAAGTTTCCAATTCAAACGAAACTTTTAATTCGGTTAAAATTTTACATCTCATGAAAAACAGCATATCCAAACAACCGACTCTTGTAAAAGACAAAGTAACCTCTTTCTCGACTACTTCAGCCGACACTGCCTCGAACAAATATCAATCTAACTCTCTTCCATCCTCATCACAACCACCTGCCGATTATGCGAGAGAATTAGCAAATCTTTCGAAGATGTACGAGCCTGACTTGAAGTACCATGGCGAAGATGATACGTTTGATTTCAAGATAAATATCTTCATGGAATTATGTGAAAAGTCTGGGATACCGGAACAACTACACGCGAAAGCATATTCGACTATGCTTAGCGGCCCGGCCCTAACTCACTACTACTCTATCACATCAAACGGACATCGGAAGGATTTTGATAATTTGTGCACTGCAACGAAAGAATATTTCGAAGGTCCAGAAACAAAACGAAACAGGTTAGCCAGATGGGAAGCTCTCTCTTTAACCCGAGTCATAATGGAAAATGAAAGCAAAGGCAAATCAGTCCAAGAATGCCTAATGCTGCTGGTAAAAGAACTTCGATTTTTGCAACTAAGTTTCGACCCTGAGTATAGGACAGACAAGCATCTACATCTTAAACTCATAAATGCTTGTCGAGGAGTCCAAGCTTGTCAACTTGCATGCTTTAAGCCAAGTGAGACTCTAAGTGGTTTAATAAACGACCTCCAGGCGTCAATATCTACAGCTGAAGCAAACAATGAGGTGTCTACAACGCAACTTTTCACTGACCGGCGTTTTCATAAAGCTAATAAATTTAACCCCAACCGACCATCACTAAAACCACCCATAAATCG